GACACATGTGTACACCAGTGAAACCACCACCACAATCAAGACAGCTAGCATTTCCATTCACTCCCCAAGGGATGCAAATTTTGAATTCTCAATTTATGCCTTCCTACTCCCTTTACCCACTGGTAACCATAAAGCTGTTCTCTATGTCTGTGAGTCTGTTTCTGTTTTGTACATAAGTTCATTATGTCCTTTTTTTAGATTCCACATATAAGTGATATTATGTGGTATTTTTCTTTCTCTTTCTGGCTTACTTCACTTAGAATGATAATCTCCAGGTTCATCCATGTTGCTGCAAGTAGCATTATTTTATTCTTTTTTATGGCTGAGTAGTATTCCATATTGTGTGTGTATGTGTGTGTGTGTATTCCACATCTTCTTTATCCAGTCCTCTGTTGATGGACATTTGGGTTGTTCTACTTTTTAGTAATTTGTGGTCATTTTATTAAACTAAATTTAAACTTGAAGAAGTCATGTACATATGTTGATTAATCTCTTATTACAGGTATTGATATGAGTTATGAAGGCTGTCATAGGCTCAAACAGGGTCCACATTGTCATTTCTGTCTACTACAATGTGGACTTAATATCAAACTCTTATTAAAGAAATATCTGGCATATCCTTAACAATTTATCTCATGACTTATAAGTGTAGAGAGGTATAAGCAGCATTTAGTGTTTAAATATTCAACTCCTTGCATACCAGCCATCCTTATTCAGTATAGATGGTGAGAAGAAACCTTGTGGGTGATAACAAATCAAATGATGTTTGTGGTTTATGAGTAGTCAATTTAATCTAATGGATTAGAAATATCTCGTCTATTCTGCTCTGTCTCCATCTCTTAAGTAAAAACAGAATTTTGATACTAAATTATAGCCACTTGGGTGATTCGTTTGTGTTTTTAGAAGAGCTAAAGTGATTAATGTTTTGAAGCTATAATTAACATTTTTTAAAGCTTCACTGAGAAATAAAATGGACTTTGCATAAGTATAATTTAAACCTACTTTTTAAGGCTCTATGTTTTGGAAACAGAGGGCATTGTCAAAGTGTGACCTTTAAAGATATTCTCAGGGAACTCATTTAGCATATGAAATTTGTTATCCCCTGGGTGTTAGGAGTTCAAAATTACAACTCACTTAGTGAATGTGAAAAGTAATTATCTCCTGTTACAAGTTAACTTGCATTATGTCAGTTCATTTCTCTTTTAGCATGTAGTTATGAAATATTCATATATAATCGATATATATTTGCAGTCACATTAAAGGAAGCACTGTGTACTTGAGAGCTAGAAATTAGCCATTGTGTGTGTGAAATATTCAGGTTAATCCATAGGACCATAAAATCCTTCAACGTACAAGGTTCCTATATTGTCAGGGCTTAGAATTTTATCACTTCCTATGCAGAAATATTATTGGACTAACAATATTTTAGTTGCCTGCCGTGTTTCAAATATTCTTTTAGAAATAAGAAAAGGCTGTTAAAAGAGGCTAGAAATTGCAGTCTTCACTATTTAAATAATAAGTATACCACATAAAGATTTTAGAACATGATGAAACAATATTACAAGCAGATATAAAAAGACAGTGAAAATTGTATTGCAATTTTGAGGCAAATGAACTGTCCGTGACAAGTTTAACTTATTGGAACAAATTTCCAGTCAGAGAAAGTTTTGATATTATTTTAAGGAAGAATGTGAATTGGCCTAGAGAGCAACTAAAATAAGCAGAAAGACTCGGACGTGCCTTGTGCCGGAGAGCGGGCATGATTGTGCGGTCAGTTAGCAAAGAATGCCATTGACCCTCTGCTTTTATCTGTAAGTTTATAACAAGAGGCTGCTTAGCATAATAAAGAAACAGACAGAAGTCAAAATCCCCTCTCCATTCACTCAAGCAGATTAATTTTCTGAGCCCTGGTTATGAATAAGAATGCCAGTCTCGTGGTGCGGTTTTGAGGCTTAAAGGTGCTAATCTATGTACAATGCTTGGCATATAATGGGCTCTAAACAAATATTAGTCCTTTTCCATTTATAGGTCACACACAACACAATGTTATGTGACCAGGAAATTTGTTAAGCTTTATTATCTCCCTATTAAGATCTGATTCAACATACAGTTAAAACGTTGAGCACATGATGAAGTAAGTTTTATTTTGGGTGCTCAGCGGTTGCCTCTGAGCATGTGTTCCCCTAGTGCTTGGGAGGTTTAAAGGATGAGAAATAGTTCAAGGATTCAGTAGGGCCTTGGCCTAAGTGTTCCTTAATGCCGTCTGCTGTGCTAAATGGATATGGTCACAGGAATCATTCTTCAGAATCACTCACATCACAATGGGGAGAAGTGCTGGACTAGGGGAGAGATTACCAGGAAGCTACAGGGCTTCAGCTTCAGAGACCTTCCCCTGCACAGGTCCCTTCTTAGGCCTTGTGTCTACTTTATGTTTGTAAATTTACATGCTTCTACTTTAAGTGGGCCTCTCCAATTAGATAACCTTCAAGCCCCACAAAACCTGGATCCACTCTGACCAGACTGTAGGTAAAAGAAAAAAAAATTCAATGTAATTTGAAAAGATGAAATGACCAATGGCAGGAAAAGCAAGTTTTGCTTCTACTGACGAAATAACGATTGGTCATTACCCTTGACCATAGATGCTCATATGCCCTTGACCACAAGCTAGCCCTGGCCTATCCAGGAAGGTGCTGTCTAGTCCAGGGTCAGCCTAAGAACCACCCATATGAAGAAGTGAGAAAGGGGACCACCTGGCAATCAGGGGGTGTGCAGTTACATTGCCCAGGTGTTTGGTTTCTGACATTTTTAGGTGGGTAAAGGGGAAGAAATAGATGGAACCAATGTTTTATTGATCCGACTCAGTATGTGCTAAACAGTGGGTTAGGCACTGTACATATTTATCACATTTTTATTCTCATATAAGTAATATCATCTAAATTGTAGCTTGGGAGAGAAGAAGTAACGTCTTTTTTTTTTACAGCTAGTGGAGCCGGAATTCAAACACAGGGCTTCTTGAAGTCAAAGCTCAGGTCCTTTCAGCTTCCCTGTGGGGCTGAGGCTTACCTGCCAAGAATCAATCAGCCAGTGGGAAGGAATGGACATTTAACCTACAGTCTACCTAGATTTTGAATACCTAACATCCTACCAGCCTCTTAGTAAACTTTTCTTTCTTGGTTTGTTCAACTATCAATTATTAAGTGTCTGCTGGGTGCCAGTGATTGTTCTGCCTGCAACGTGCTGCCCTTTATGTAGTTAGTTATTATGTCTTCAGAACTTGTCATCATCACTTAAAAACTCTCCAGATTGGTAGGTAGGTAAGTAGGTAAATGAATGGTTGGATGAATGAATGGACGGATGGATGGATTCACAAATATGTATATTACTCCAATGAAAATTTCACAATTACTATGGTATCTGCTGTTATTTTCAAAGCCTCAGAAGTCCTTTTAAAATGGATATTGTTCCTTTAAATTGAAGTGTGCAATTTTGGTTAATCACTAAAACTTAAATATTGCTCATGATCTGGAGTTAGCAACTTCAACATTTTTATTCACAAAACCTATAAAATAAGGCTGTATTTTGAAATGGATAATTTTCTTTAACTCTCAACTTTTTAATTTCTCTCTTCACATTAAAGATCTTCTCTTTTTCCTGGATGCTTTTTATCCCGTGTCCATAATCGTTGGCCAGTTTTTGAAAAAATATAACTGCTCTACTGCAGAAGCTCAGGAAGCTACACTGGGCAGCAGGGGAAGGAGAGCTTGATTTCAAATGAAATCTGTAAAGGTGTGGACTGTAGCCAAGGCTTAACTGGAAAGAATCAAGCAGCCACTGAAGGGTTCGTCTCACAGGTTACCTGTGACATTCCCAATCACATTAAAATATTCCCTGACACACTGGTCGTAAAGCAAAGTCATGGATAGAAACTGAAAGTAGTCAAAATAGCACTGGAAACATTTTAAATAAATTTTCTAAGGGAAAAGCTTATTTATTTATATATATATGTGTATATAAATAAATCAGGGTGAGTGAGATATGGCTTGAGTGTAGTAAGTACCTACTCTATGGTGAAATGGGAAGACTGTTATTTCAGGAGATCCTGTTTTAATCACAGGAAAGTTGGGCCAAGTAACCAAATCTTTTTTAAATGAAATAATGTTAAGTTCTGTTTCATGATTATTCCCCTAACAAACAAAGCATACACATACTTGAGTGAAAGATGGCTCTGGTGTATACGCAGTGTCCGTGAGGATTCTGAGTCAAACATCCAGTTATACCTCAAAGGGAAGTAACTTGATTGTAATGTGGCCTCAGTGCTTTGAGACGGTGACTACCCCATTGAGGTGGGCTATTCAAGAGGAGAATCCTTGTTACACTCTGAGTGAAGCTGTATTCACATGGAACTTGATAGCAACAGTAGCAGGAGGTGTTTAGTTGCACAGGTGGCATTTGTCTACACAGTCCTGTAAAGGCATCTGCAAATGGTATTTGAGCTGGAATCTAAAATAGTATTGTGAATACACTTACACCTGCTGTCATTTCCTCCCGCAAAAAGAGACATCTGCTCCTTGATTTTCACAAAAAGTTTTACATCATCCTTTCTTCTAAGGAACCCTCTTCATCTCTTCTTATTCCCCAAGTCACCTTTCCTTGCTGATCATGGCATTGACAAAATACACTTTCACAGCATTTTAAATTGCCTTGCAATGATTTAGTTAGGTCTGCGTCTAGAAAGATAATCGAGTTTCCTTTAGGAAGTGGTTGTTTATATCTGTATTAGTCAAAATAAGCCAACAGCTTGAGCCATCTGAAATATTGAGCTTTGTATGTGTTAAAGGGTTTGATACAAAAATGGCCTTGGAGACAAACCAACAGCCTCAGAAATACAATGTAAGGCTTTTATTTTGGTGAAACTTGTAAGTGTTGTTCCACACATTTGCCAGACTTTGCTTTTTAAAAAATTTAATAACTTGTTTTCTTCCCCTCTTTCACTGGTACAGATCCACATCCAGAGAACTGAAGGGTGTGACCATATGACCTGCTCACAATGTAACACTAATTTTTGTTATCGATGTGGGGAGAGATACCGCCAGCTCCGTTTCTTTGGAGACCACACATCAAACCTCAGTATATTTGGATGCAAATATCGCTACCTCCCAGAAAGACCTCATCTAAGGAGACTAGTGCGAGGGTCGGTCTGTGGTGAGTGTCGGACTTGACTTGCAAGATTCTTCCCTGGGAAGTGAGCAGTGATGATAACAGAACTCAGGAATGTAACAGAGTAGCCATGGTAAATCTGGGCGCCTGCCAGGTATCCTAGTAGAGCCTTAACCCCCCACAATAGTTGGGAGGTATTTTCGATCCCTTTGAGTTTAAAATTTAAAAGTTTGTTAGCAGGACATTACTTACATGAGCAAGCAGATTTTGATCGAGAAACAAATAACTATTTACACTGCAGAAATATGAAGTCATTAATCTTCTGAAACCCTACTGTAAGCCTCTTGATGGAAGAGGACAGTGTCATTTATTTTTATTTTTATTTTTCTAGTGGCAGTATCTAGCAGCAGGTCCTCTGTTCATCCATGGAAGACTTGTAGTCCAATTTTAAAAATCCCTGTGTTTCAGAGTCTGTGATGAAGTTCCATTTTATCTATATAGTTGATAAGCCATTGTATATATTTGTGCATATTTTCTATTGTATTAATAGTTAATATTAATAACTAACAGTTAGTGAAGTGAGCATCTAATGCCCACATTGCATATAAACTCAAGTTTAAACATCCAAGTGCAATGCTTTTATGGATGGACTTTTATACCCCTGCCTTCATCCTCTGCAATACATAGTCTTATAAACAAATATACAGACATAAACACAGATTCCTGCTCTGACCTCATGTCACCACCTCTTTGCAGTGCAGTTTTCTTCTGGTCTAATAGTTCTCCCAATAGCTCCCTACTCCTCTGGAGCAGACCTGACACACATTTCTTTTTCATCATGCAGAGCTTCATTCTTTCTTTCTCTGGCAGTCTTTCTCATGTATAGGCAATACTTTTTAACATTTTTCACATTTCTCCCTTTCCACTTGCTTGTGCTAATTACTTCATAAAGCTCTCTTTATATCTCTCTTTCATCCTCCATCACTTCATTACTGTTGTGAACCACTCCTCTCGCTAGAATCGTGTGATGGCAAATTGGAACAAAGCTAGTGGTAATGATATACTTCGGTCAGATAAATGATAGAACATATATTTTAGATTTCACTTCATCGTCTAGAAACCAGTGCCATCATTTTCTAAAATTTTTCTTGATCTCTATAAAAAACACCCTTTCTGAGCTTTAATTAAGCATAATTTTCCACAGCCAACAGCATTCAATATAGACAAAATTGGTTTTAATGATTTTCAGTGCTTTTCTGTTTATTTGCTTGTGATGGTATATATTATAATTATACAACCAATGTGCACTTATTAGTTAAATACACTTTGGAGAAATAGCTAAGGAATCTAACCCCTATTTATAACAGTACTCCCATGAGAAAACTAACTGCAAATTAAGTTTTGAGCTGTAACCTACTTGTAAGCCTATATATACTATGAGCAACCTAAAAACCAAACCCTGTATTTCCTCCATTGTTAGTTATTTTCTTTCCTAGTTCAATGTCATTTTGAGGCAAGATGTTTCCTTCCATTTTTTATTTTAAATAATCTTTGACTTGACCATCTTTTTTTCCCTTCTTGTTTTTTGTTTAGTCATTCTTAAATAAGGAAAGTTATTTCCTGCACTGTTTGTCCAGTGATATTTTGAATGCATTCTCTTTGAGTCTTCTCACTGTTTGCCTAGATGCCACTAGAATCCTCTTCTCGGGTCAATAAAAATTAGAGTCCAGTTATTGAATAGCCTGTGGAATGGACAGCCTATAAACATTGTCAGCAGGGAACTATTTTCTTTGTACAGTCTTTTCTGTTTTTATTGAAATGTTTTAATGGTCAGCTTTCTGTAAATGGTTCTCTTTTTGGCCTGTTTTCTTCTCTGTATGTGTGTGTAGTCATGTGTGTCAGGACAAGTAGGGAGCAGCTGGCCTTACAATGAGCTCTTCATCCTGCACACACTAGCCCACTTCTAGTGGGCTGCCTCCAACTGCAGGTGGACCACCGCTGCAAGCAGATGGGTCCCCACCGCTCCCATCCCCACAAAAGGCAGGGAAAGGAGTCACTCTGGAAGTCTCAAGCTTTACCTTTTCCCTGCCATGTAAGCCAGAAGACGGATTATAGCAAAGCCTCCTGTCCACCATCCTTGTGTGATGTAACCCATTTTGCTCCTCAGTTTGGGACCACAGCCTCTAGAGGTCCTTGGACAGAGACAGAGAAAGGGCCTACCCTCCTCTCACAGCTGGAGGATGGAAAAATGGTCTACATTCCATGTGATCATGTGCCCAACTACAGAGGTTCTACCCCTAGAGAATAAGGGAGAAGAGAGATTTGAGGATACATAGCAGCTTGTGACATGGAGGTGTCTCCCTGGTAAGAAGTAGGGAGGTTATTCAGTGAATACTGTTGGGGATAAAAGCGACAGAATAAATGCTGAATTCTCTTATTATTCCATACAAGTATTCAAAGTATTAAATCATAAAATAGTAAAGAAAATATAGGTCTTTAACTGATTTCTAGGTGACAAATAATTTATATGATGAACAAAAGCAATGGAAACCCCTCCAAAAATAAATATCAATATTTTTGTAGAAAGAAAAGAAGTAGGAACCAAAGTTAAGAAATACATATAGCCAATAAACATGTTTTAAAAGGTTGAATGTTATTACCACTCAGAGAAATGTAAATTAAAATAAAATGAATTTTTTTTTGATTATTGGTTAGCAAATATTTTGTCAAGTTAATATGAAATGCTGGCCTTCCATACTCTACTGAATGAAATGGAAATTTTGTGCAATTCTTTAAGAAAGAAATGTGACAGTAATATGAAGGACATTTTAAAACATGATAAATCTAGGCTGATAGTAGTTTATTTGCAAGTATAATTTAAAATAGCAGAACAGGGAACAAAAATTAAGACTAAAATATTTACATGAGTTAGGCTATATGGATGTGATAGAACATTGTTTCAGCTGTTGAGAATAGTATTTTAAAAGAATTGTTACTGATCTACAAATAAGAGAGTCCGCTTAACTGTCCTCAAGACAGTTTCAAAAGTAGACTTAAACATGTATCAAACATTGATTACATGATTGTGGTAAGTTTATTACTTCCCAAAGAGAGAGTGTGCATGTCTGGTTCTTTGAGTTCTGTGATATTTGGGGAAAAAAAAATCAGTGCCATTACTTTATAGTCATGTTCCATCACTATTATGAAAATATATTGATAATTACCTAAAAAGGGAACATAAATGAACATACTGAGCTACATGTACAGAAAAAAAGATTCTTTTAGAATATGCAAGTCAATATTTCTAAACTCAAGCATAGCTTTAAGAATGTATGAAATGTAACTGTTCAGTGAGATTTCGTATTACTTGATTGATTCTGTCCGTGCTGAAAAATGTAGGTAAAAACACAGACATTGTGTCAACTGAATGGCAATTTTTCAAAATTAGTTATTAAAAACTGTATTTTCTATCTGTTTTTTATGGTTTCAAAGACTGTTTCTTAAGAATAAAAAGGTTACTATTTTTCCAACAAACTTCCAACAAACGACTACATTCTGTTTCTATTTTTTAATGTGATTGGTTATTCCAAGTTACTGTCCTTTTGAATGGTGTCACTGCTTTATTCTTCAACAGCTATGTAACCTGCCGTTAAGTCCCTCCGTCCCTTCCTCACCTCTTGTTGTGTTTGGGTTGTGCAGATGTACTGTTGCATCACATACCTTAAGGGCAAGACTACTACATAATGACAAGATGTTAACTACTAGCCTCCACTGTTGTGCTAGTGCCTTTCAGCATCAGTGGGGTTCCAGCTGTGAACTCTGTGCTGGAACTAGAGTTTCTTCTAATCATCTCTCAGTTATTCACTTAGGATGCCAGATGGCATCAGCTAGCATCCAGCCCTCTAAAAAGTGCTTCCATTTAAAGTTTGTTAAATGATTCACCTGAATAACCTTTAATATAATGTATGTTTATTGGTAATTTTCTTAAACAATGGTGTTGAAGCATCCCCTTTGTAAGCCAGTGTATTAAGTGTTCATGGTGTTAGCTTCCTTTGGATGGAAGAAGTAAATAAATCACTTTCTCAGATGTGAGCTTGGGCAGAGCCCTCTGTGACTCCTACCTACTAGCTCTCCATTTTGCAAACTAATTAGATTTTCTGCTACCAATTGAGAATGTGTCACTCCTTTCTTAAATCTTTCAGAATCTTAAAAATTAAAAATGGAAGAGATCTAAAGGAAAAACACAAAGATGAATGGTCCTGGTAGAATAAAGTGAGCCAGTAGCTTTGGAATTTTTTGGTCATAAAGGATAAGTGATCTATGAGGTGTCTGACTCATGTGCCCAGGACTTGAGTCAAGTAACTGAACTTACATGTGTATATTTGTTCTACCCCTGATACGTTTCCTTAGAGAAATACTGCCTTAATTATAAACAGACTCCTTAAAATAACATATGCTGTGATATTAAAAAGCATTGCGGAAATTGTTTTTAGTTTTAGTTTTAAAACTCTCTAAATGGTTTTGCCTTTTATTTTCCAGCTGGAAAACTATTCGTTGCACCTCTAATCCTGGTCTTGGGATTAGCACTAGGGGCCATAGCAGTTGTAATCGGTAAGAAGCACTTAACGTATCTGAGATAAGAGTTCTCTGAGTGCCACAGACAGAATATGAGTGTAAATGTAACAGTGTGAGCCGGTGATTAAGTGGACACAGTACCTGCTCCATGCTTGCTCTAGATAAGACATCAGCTTGTGATTTACAGTTTCAGAGAAGCTTGTATCACATAGGATGTATTTGTATTTTTCAGTTCATGAACACTTTGATTCATGTTTCTTATAAAGCATTATTAAGCCCTTCTTAATTCCAAAACTAGTATTTTAGCAAAAGAGTCCAGTGAACTAGAACCCAGATTTTCCAATTCTGAGTTCAGGTTGGAGCATCAAAGAAAAGAGGCCTTGGTACACCTTTAGGTGTTCGGTTTGTTCTGATAAAAG